TCGCACCCATTTAGGCTAAATAACAGAAAACCCTCTCTGTATAATGCATAACAGTTCAACAGCACCACAAACCACATCCTCCAAAACCACACAGTTGACTCAACACCTGTCTAAAAACTATTTCAATAAAAACTAAACATCACACATAACCTTCATGAGGGGAGATTTATTGCAAGACTGTTGTATCAGACTGTATTAGGTTTTAGCTAGGTGTACCTAATAAACTGCCACTTGAGTGTATGCTGCCTTTGCAACATTCAGTTTAAAACAGATTTTTTTTAGGAGTGTGATGTTGCATGTGTTATAAGCTCCTGAAATGCTGTCTAAAATATGTTTTGTTATTCAATAGCTGTCCATTGTGGTTTGGGAGAAATAAATGTGAACAGCCCGCTGTTAAACTGGTACTTGAGAACGCTCACCATATTGCTCCCTATTCATAGAGCTAAAAAAACAGCTTGTAAATGCCCCTCACCCCCACCCCCCATAACATCACCATGGTCGGGTTGTTTTCTATTGTCTAGATCAGATGGTACACTTGAATAACCAGCTGTTGAGCCATCAGTTGGTAAGATCACATGCCAGAAACCAGCAGTTTGCGCTGACATGGCTTCCACTAAAAAACTGTAATGGTGAAGTCTGTTATCAATAATTCACTAGTTTCTAGCAGCCTGAGTCTTGAAGGATACTGGTTATATATAGGAAGCTCTCTCTCCTTAATAAGGCTTCAGGGGAGAGGTGGTGGGGTCGGTTGGAGCCGGGTGCTGGCCTGGTACTTGGTTTAGGCTGACTCCCTTTGGATTCAGGCTGTCACTCGAATTCACTGCAAAGGAAATCTCAAGGGGTAAGAAAAATAGTTTTTATTCTGTTTTCTATTACCATCAGTCATATCTCCTCAGCCTTTTCATCTACTTTTTTTATTTCAAACCCAGTGTAGCAGGTGGGATCAGTGGGATGGAGGTATAGAGAGCAGATTAGGGCACAGCCAGGGGATGGTGTATGGCTCCTCACCAGAGCTCATAATACTTAAAGTGATGAAAGATAGGATTTATGAGTTATAAAGGATGTCAAGCAAATCAGGTGGACTCAAATGAGATACCCAGTGTTTTGAGAATAATGACAGTAATTGTCTTGTTTGGGAAAAGAGACAGCAGCTATGTGTATGTGTTTATCATAGTAACACTGGCAATTGGTTAAAATGGACTCAGAGAAGAGAGACAAACTTGGTAGGGACACATGGGACTCGCTTTCATTGGACAAATTTGCTGGTGTGTGCCTCTGGAACTTTTATTGTACTGACCTTATGCTCACTAACAATTATTTCCTCTTAAATTAAGAAAACTTTAATGGACATTGAATGAAGAATTGAAAATGGACATTATTATTCCTTATCACTAGTTAGGCTCAAGTAATCTGAATAGCAACTGTTCATGATCAAGCTACAGAAATTATAGAGGTTTGCACGGTTATGGTTGAGAATTTTACAGGTTTACTGTATCAGAGAGAGCAGCTCAGGGTGTCATTTGGTAGGCATTTATGCTGTTACAGTATTGGCCAACTGACAGAGGCAGAGGAAGCTACTGGGGTGTAGGTGTGGACGGTTGGGACCAGAATACGTCCTTGTCTGTAGTTTTTACTGCCTATTTATTTTGCGGAGCACAATGTCTCTTATGTGTTGTTTTGGTCTTTCATTGTAAACCATTTTGTATCTTTAAATGTTCACCTGAATTTCTAAAATTAATTCATAGCATTAGTGATACTGACCTTTTCAGTGGCACTATGCATCCATGTGAATGGAGTATTGAACTTGAACATATAAAGAGTAATCATCATATTTCAATCTAATACGTCCTCTGCTGCACAAACCAACATGATTCAGCCAGGGATTAACAGTCATTGCTCTGACTTTAGGAGTCAGAGGTTAGAGGTCAGGGTTTAGTAGCGTTATGGTGTAATCTATCTGCTTGACTGGCTGCTTGATTACAGTTTTGGGACATTAAAGAGTGAGTCAAACATGGCTTTGGCTCAGTTATAGTGACCCTGAACTGGGAGAGTGTTTCAAAGTTGTGGCGGAGGAATGGTCTTTGCCAATGCAGCACGTCTCAGTAGCATTCAGGTGAGGCAGGGCAGGGAAATCGCTTCATGTTTCATGGTGACCTTATTTCTAGTCTCTGAAGATTTGGTAGGTGATGTAGAGGCGATAATTATGATTATCATGATATGTGCATGATATGTAAGAACAAAGTGTATTACTCATTGCTTCGGTGAGTGACAGCGTGTAAGAAGGGCAGCTAATAGAAGAGTACAAATCATTTGGAAATGAAAGCTGTCATCACCCGAAGTAGATTTCCATTACATAACTCCTTTACTGTTTAACTATGAAGATGCCCCCAATGCCTAAGCAGAGTGTAAATATGCATGTATCAAAATGTCTATCATTGCTTAAGGGGTGAGATGGCCTTGGTGATGTAGCGTGATACTGTGGACAGTAAAGTGGAGACTGCATGTAATGCTATTGTGGTATGTCACTTTACAAACTTTGGAAGATTTATTACTTTCATGTATGTGGTGCAATCAAGGTGAATGTTTTTTTCTTAATCTATGGAACGTAATAAAAATGAAGATCCACTTTCTCAAATGCTTGGTTGAGAAAGAAGGCCTTTATACTGGCTGGGTAATTTTCGTTTTTAATATTGGGAGGAATTCATAAGACTGCTGCAAAACAGCCCGTGAGATAGCCCAAAAGTCTTTTTTTGATGACACATTTGAGGAAAGTTAACTGTCAGTAATATGTGTGTGTGGCAGCCTTTCTTCTTTCTTTCTTTCTTTTTGTACCAGTAGTAATATCATCAGTGTGGCAATCATGCTGTCGTTATGTCTCAGTTTGGCTGCTCGTCCAGGTTTTGTGAATAATAGAAACTTGTTACTGAAGAGACCATACTTTCACAAAAAAAACAGGAGGCCTCAAACTCCATCAGCTATCCTTTCAATGTTGTAATTGCTTTGTTTCATATGACTTGTCTTGTGGAAAGTGGTAAATGACAATATTTACAGTCCACCACTGTTATAAACTAAAATATACAGTAAGTGCTAGTGCTGAATCTTGAAGGACAATCTTTGGTGCAGCTGCACTGTCACGTTGGTGGTTCAAGTACATTACTGGTCCAACATAGTCAACATCATGCCTTTTTTTTTATGCATTGTTTCATGTGTGTATGGTTGGTCTTTAAATCAGTATGGGTGTACCTTGTCATTGCTGAAGCTGCCAGTAAGACTGCTGTGTTTTGTGAAGCGTGTGTGGTTGGGGTGTGTGACAGCTATATGTGGCAAATTCCTGGAGGGCTTTTCTTCTGGTGATGACAGTACAACCAAATATACGCTCATTAATTGTTGCCAAACATTGTTGCAAAGCATAGAGTCATTAACACAGAGAAAGACAGCAGTTTGCTGTCCAAATGATCCAAATGCTCCTCTACAATAATGAACCATGTCATTTTCTTCCTTACATTTCACAGCATAATCCTTAAGGGTGGTAGCCCTCGTGTTTGTGTGTTTGGTGTCATCTGTTGTGGTCTGACTTGAAGGTGGAAATATACTGTAATTTTGTTTAGAATTTGTGTGTGTGTGTGTGTTTGCTGGTTCCAACAGGTCCGTAATCTACAGTGTCCATCATGTCAGTGTGGATCAAACGTGGGAATTAACAACCATGAGTACCACCACAAACAGAGCCGATATGTGGTAAAGACACAGCAGTACAGGAACAGACTAATAACAACAATTACAACTAATACATTAAGCTAATGCAGGACTTTCGTAGTTCTAATATTATACTAATAGAAGTATTGTAACAGTAGTAAGCTTTGTCATTTGCTAAACTTACAAATTCAGCCCTGTTGAGTAACCACGTAATAGTAAAGCTAACCTGGTTTAACATTAAGGCTAACATCAGACCAAACTAACTGTTCAGCTGGCCAAGCTGAACCAAGATCAAATATGTGAACATGCTTTTCAGCTCTGTTAAAACACTACAATTCTACTATTTGGCAATGCACTTATTGCAATCACAGAACTGTGATTGAGTGACCTGCACAGTTTTAATGAAGGTCAAAGCTACTGATTGCTTTTCCATTGATACAATACAAAACATCAATAGTGGTTTTAATGTATAATAAAGGTAATAATAATAAACTGGATTGGATTCATTTAATTTTAACAGGGCTCTCTGGGAAGATGAAGAAATGAGATTATGTAGAAAAATAGCAAAAGTTAAGTTGATTTTTAATGACATTGTAACAACCTGTAACAAACTGGCTGATGCCCAGTTCTTAGGGAGTGGTGTGGTGGTTGGTGGTGGGTTTTTTGTTTGTTGTTTAGTGTTTCTGTGTATGTTTGTGTGGTGTTTTAAAAGGAGTGTCAACAGGTATTCTTGGCTGCTGTGCTTCATGTCTGTACTTATCACTTCAAGATGCTTATTTCTCTGCTCACTTTTTTCTTGCTTCTGTTTTATTTTTGCTAATAAGCAGCTAACCCACCACACAGTCTGATGTTCTCTTGAATGACGACAATATTAGACATCACTGCAGCAATGAACAATGAAAGCAACAATGACTGATTCAAATGCTGTTCTGCCATGTGTTGCATTTCTTCCCATTTTAATGTACAACTAGGTGCACTCAGTTTCCTAATTAGGTTAGTGTAATATATCTCTTTCATCTATTTTATTCTTATACCACACATGTTTAACATTTTGTAATAACAAAAGTACATACATTTACTTGTAACCACTTTTCTTAAGTGGTAATACCTATCAGGTAGTTGTAACAAGTAACATTTACCATGCTGAAAAAAGGCAACCACACCCTTATCTGATTAAAACACACACACACACACACACACACCACACACACACACACACACACACACACACACACACACACACACACACACACACACACACACACACACACACACACACACACACACACACACACACACACACTTACCAGAGTCCATGTAGTGTCCAGTAGCTAATGTTGGGATGACAATGTTCCATCTGAAATTTGAAAAAAATTGTATTTTACTCCATCTGGACTCAGGTGGCTGTATCTCATTGGGCTGAAATAAAAAACTCTTTCATAACCCCAATGAAGGTACAAGAATAAAACAAAGGTAGAAATGAAAACGTTTATTTTGGGGAGTAACTATTAGGGCTGCAACTGATGATTGTTTCTACTGATTCATTTTGATTATTCTTAGATGAACCAACTAATTGTTTTGTCTATAAAATATCAAATATAATGAAGATTTTCAGTGACAGGAATCCATGATGTCTTAAATTCATTGTTTTGTCTGACAAAAAAAGTAAGTATTTAGTTAATATAGGGAAACAGAAATACCAGCACTTTTTTTTAATTTTAGTATCAAAGTTTAGGTGTGTTAGGTGACATGGTACTCAATAACTGAAGTGATTGATGAAATGAACAATCAATTTGAAGTTACAGTATGTCTTGCATTTTGTATTTATATTACCAACCACGTAAAATTAAAAACATTTTCTGATGAATGTCACAGTGTTGAGTGGAAAGGGGAATTGCGGGAGTTTTGCGGTTTTGCAGTTATGGATGTACATATAAAAGTCTTCAGCTAAGACTTGGTATAGAATATAGTATAGTCTAAAATTCCTTAGAATTTCTTCTCGAAAGTGCCATAGCAAAAACTATGACTGAGAATACAAGCTATTAATAAGCAAAATGAGACCTGGAACAATTAGACAGCAATCCTAAGGGTGTGTTCAAGAGCACAAAATAAGGAACGTAGGTCACATGTTTATGGGATAGTTGAAACTGCATACTCTCGTGACCGTAAATGCAATGTGGCCTAATCAAACCAGACTGGTGACACACAACCAGTGTGTTGACTCAGACATCATATGATATTTAGGGACTAAAAGTTAAGAGAGATGTGGTGTACTGGTAACATTCTGGGGACACATAAATCTTAGAAATGGTTACTATGTTATTCAACAATTAACCTGAATTGTTGGATAAATAGTTATCTATTTACACTTCTCTCAATTTATCGCAACATATAGTATATTAGGCTAACTCTTAATCTCAACCTATACAAAATAGCCTAGAAACAATAAGTCATTTCTGTTTTTAAAAAATGGGTTTTCACTTTAGCATACAGAACTCATTTTAACCCATGGCTAACCTGTAAGAACTGAAACCTGACTAATCACATTACCAAGTGAAACAGAAGACTGTCTTTCACTACTAATCTTGATTCACTTAAATATTAAACTGACATGTGACATGTCAAATTGTGTTCTGTGATAAGGCCGATTGTATCCTTAAAAAGGTCAATATGTTTAAAAATAAATAAATAAACAAATAAAAGTAAAGGCAGGGAGACACTCACAGCACAGAAGGTGCTAGGCCAGTGGTGGGTCAGGATCAGTTTGGTCCACATGTGTCTGAAATACACAAACATACAATAATTTCTTAGTCCGGTTTGTTTATTGTTTATATAGCATGACAATGACACATTATCTACTTTGAGCTACATGTGAATTTAATAGATGTACAAATGTGGAAGCAAGAAATAGCAATACTTATCAGACCATTTTCCACTACACATATATTATTTTGCTGTACTTACGGGGATGAAATCACAAAGGCAGAGGACAGGGTTGCTGCCAGGCAGAGCAGAAGAGGTGAGCAGGGCCTCATGTCTGACCTAAAACAAAATAACAGACTTGTCAATAAAACCCCAGGTTTCTGATAACATCCACATTAAAACCACATACAGAATGAACAAAACATTTGTGTCTGTGGAGAATTTGTGCATTGCACCAATATGAATTGTTATAATCATGGATTTTGATTAAATCATGTGTTATAAAATTGTAGATGTTTGACTGGTTCACTTAGAAAAAGCAGGCAGGAGCACACAAAGACTGTCAAAGAGGAGAAAAACAGGTAGTGGTTTTTAATCTGGAGGAAGTGAGTAGTAAAGACGACTTCATGTGACCACTTAATTAGGTAATACAGAAAAAACCTTTAACCCAGCAGTCTCTCCCTCAGATACACAAAACAACAACATTGCATGCATTTGAAACATCATGCCTGCACATGTTAACTGAGCCATTTTAGCAAATATTCCCCTAATTCCCATCAGTCATCGAGGAGACGACTCTGTTGACAAAACAATGCTGCAGTATCATGACCTAATTCTGAAACTGACAACAGTGAGTGGGAGTGGAATAGAAAGTTCTCAAGATGTGCTAATATGTGTTAACTCAGGCTAAAGATCTATCATGGTGTAAATGTGCAGTCTGTGGCAATACGACACCACACAAACCGCGGAGGACGTGCCCTGCATCAAGCAGCAAAGTCAGCAACAATACCGAGACTTACAGTGTTTATTTACGTCTTATAGCAGCTCTTTCAACACTGCAGTGCAGTTCACAATGCAGCAAATGTAGGAAAAAAAAAGAACTGGTATACAACAAAATCACGTGTATGTTTGTGGGACTGTTTTTAAAGACATTTTGAGGAAAGGTCTGACCTGCCCGGTCGATTTAGCTAACAGATGTCAACGGGCGACTTTGAAGTAAACGTTCAGGCACAAAAAATTAACATGTTTTTCTGTAACTTCATCTAAAACCTTGAGTACGTACAAAAATTTGTGAAAACGCTTACTGTGCTGAGGTCAAAACTCGAGATAATGGGGGGTTAAACATTAGCAAACTGAACTATCGACTCCTGAGTCACAGCAAACCATGTTAACAAGCAACAGCGTCCAGTTAGTAAAACTGATCCACGGTTGGTTTTCATAAATATATTCTTTAGACTGGCCTCACCTTGTACCGGATATGTTGCAACAAAAAATCGTACTAGTTTTCCGGACGCCAGACAGTCTCTCATTTAATAAGATCAGTTAACACGGTTAGCGCATATACTCAGGATACAGAACCAAGGCTGTTGTTTATGTCCCACAACCAACCGCTTCACTACCTGTCTGTCAGCTCAGCCAATAGTATGCACCGCAGACGTCATGCGTCATCACGTGCTAGACATGAGTGGGTTGCTTGTTCTAATGCTTTGATCCCAACGGCTGCTCCCTATACCGAGGCATTGTACTGATGTTTTGAAAGAAGGTTCGTTGATGTAAAAGTGTGCAATCGCCCCTTTCAAGAAAGTGGCTGTGCATTGTACAATTAAACTCAGTGGGGTTTATTAATAATAAGTTTAGGTCATGTCCTTGTCACATTTAGTTTCACATCGCAATTATCATAAAGATTTATTACAGCGCCATCAGCTCTGGAGATCAGTAATTCAGATCTGACAGATTTATCAATCCTCTGAAAAACACACACAAAAAAACACATTTTAAATGCTTTTGGAAAGACTGTGCCTAATGACAATTCTGTGAACAGCTTCAGTGAAGCATAAGTGAAGCTGTATTCATAGAGTCAATGAGGTGAAAAGAGACTTAATTTCTAGCCAGTTATTTTAACAGGGTGGTCATCAACTGAATAACACAAAATAAAATGATTATAGCTTTGAATTTGAATTTTTGGGTTACTCTGTGCATTAATTTTACAGCCCCTGTAGTATCTGGTAAGCTTCCCTCCTCTTTGCCTCTAAGCTCAACAGAAAATCCAAGATCAAAATAATTCTTGTGTGTGATGAAATTGATGTATTCTATATGGTCTTTTACAGAAACAGTCAACTAAATGTAGCCTACTGTATGCCTACTTCATCTTTCTGCAATTAAAGACAAATATTCAGTCGGACATTTCACTTTGTGAAGTGCTATGCACTAATGATTCTTAATTTAAAGTTAATCGGACAGGCCTGACTTATTAAATGTATGAAGTGCCCAGGGGTTCCTTTTAAATAATGACTCATTATAAGCTGATGTGTAAAATTAAGCATGTCATGACAGTTAAATTAGAGAATTCATCTTGCTCTGTCTCCAGGGACTGCAATGTCAAAAACTAACTGGAATAATCAAAATTTCATAATATCCCATTGGAAGAAACAGATATTGATTGTAGGCTTTTTTTTTTTTTTGCAAAGCTTTTTCTTCATCGGTTGTATTACCCTGTAGTCCTAGCTCACCAGCATCTCACTGTCAGCCAGAAACATAATGTACTAAAATTATCACTGGGCTTCAGTTACAAAGTGTACTACCACATGACCAATAGGGGGCTCTTTTCAACCACAGACAGATGTCAATCCTGTTTTTACCACAGGTGTACACACAAACACACACACACACACACACACACACACACACACACACACACACACACACACACACACACACACACACACACACACACACACACAGTGCAAAAAAGAGAAAACAAAGATTACAATAGTGAAAAGGGGAATAATGACTCTTGACTGGTTGATGTTTATAAACCTTTTGTAAGACATTCAAGCTTCATTATGAACAAGTTATATGTCTCCTGTGCCTATTTGGTTTTTAACACAGGGCCTAGCTGACTCCAGGTGACCTGTCCCTTTCTCTAATCTCTGAACAAAATGCTAACCTCATGCTTTTAATGAATGTTGTATTTCTAATTTTCAAGCATATATATCATTATTTGGAATTTAATCTTGCTCATGTAAAAATGTCAAATATTATTGGGTAGGTGATGGGGATGGGACCTTGTAAGTCCAAAAACCGAGGATCCTGAGTTTTGTTTCTGGTGAAGGTCAGCCTCTGTATATTTATTCCTGAAAAAACTCCTGTCGCCCATTTCTCTCTTTCACAATTTTCTGTCTGTCTGCGTCACTCACACATCATACAGTCCTCTCCAACCCCTGACCCTGCCACGCTCTCTCTTTCCTTTTCTCAAATATAACTCCATGTTTTCCCATCATATGATTTCACCTCAGATGTGAAATGTGTTTCACAGCTCCTCCACTGTCAGGAATAGTCTAGCTGTAACTGTAGATAGTTTTATAAATAGGCTCTGGCCAAAGTTCAGCATGCGACACAGTGTCTCAAGACGTTTCTGAGTGCAGAGGGAGAAAGATCTTGGAGAGGGACTTCAGCAATGTCTAAAGTGCAGATAGATTTAACTGTATAAATGAAAAAGCTGTGTACTGGGGCTATGCAGCACTGTTGAATTGAACTGCGTTATACAGAAGGATGTTTCTATTATTTTGTCCACCCATTTAGGCTAAATAACAGAAACACCTCTCTGTATAATGCAATACAGTTCAACAGCACCACAAACCACATCCTCCAAAACCACACAGTTGACTCAACACCTGTCTAAAACTATTTCAATAAAAACTAAACATCATAACCTTCATGAGGGGAGAATTTATTGCAGGACTGTTGTATCAGACTGTATTAGGTTTTAGCTAGGTGTACCTAATAAACTGCCACTTGAGTGTATGCTGCCTTTGCAACATTCAGTTTAAAACAGATTTTTTTAGGAGTGTGATGTTGCATGTTGTATAAGCTCTGAAATGCTGTCTAAAATATGTTTTGTTATTCAATAGCTGTGCCATTGTGGTTTGGGAGAAATAAATGTGAACAGCCCGCTGTTAAACTGGTACTTGAGAACGCTCACCATATTGCTCCCTATTCCATAGAGCTAAAAAAACAGCTTGTAAATGCCCCTCACCCCCCACCCCCCATAACATCACCATGGTCGGGTTGTTTCTATTGTCTAGATCAGATGGTACACTTGAATAACCAGCTGTTGAGCATCAGTTGGTAAGATCACATGCCAGAAACCAGCAGTTGCGCTGACATGGCTTCCACTAAAAACTGTAATGGATGAAGTCTGTTAATCAAATAATTCACTAGTTCTAGCAGCCCTGAGTCTTGAAGGATACTGGTTATATATAGGCAGCTCTCTCTCCTTATAAGGCTTCAGGGAGAGGTAGGTGGGGGTCGGTTGGAGACGGGTGCTGGCCTGGTACTTGGTTTAGGCTGACTCCCTGTGGATTCAGGCTGTCAACTGAAGTCACTGCAAAGGAAATCTCAAGGGGTAAGAAAAATCAGTTTTTATTCTGTTTTCTATTACCATCAGTCATATCTCCTCAGCCTTTTCATCTACTTTTTATTTCAAACCCAAGTGTAGCAGGTGGGATCAGTGGGATGGAGGTATAGAGAGCAGATTAGGGCACAGCCAGGGGATGGTGTATGGCTCCTCACCAGAGCTCATAATACTTAAAGTGATGAAAGATAGGATTTATGAGTTATAAAGGATGTCAAGCAAATCAGGTGGAATCAATGAGATACCCAGTGTTTTGAGAATAATGACAGTAATTGTCTTGTTTGGGACAAGAGAGACAGCAGCTATGTGTATGTGTTTATCATAGTAACACTGGCAATTGGTTAAAATGGACTCAGAGAAGAGAGACAAACTTGGTAGGGACACATGGGACTGCTGCTTCATTGGACAAATTGCTGGTGTGTGCCTCTGGAACTTTTATTGTACTGACCTTATGCTCACTAACAAATATTTCCTCTTAAATTAAGAAACTTTAATGGACATTGAATGAAGATGAAAATGGACATTATTATTCCTTATCACTAGTTAGAGCTCAAGTAATCTGAATAGCAACTGTTCATGATCAAGCTACAGAATTATAGAGGTTTGCACGGTTATGGTTGAGAATTTTACAGGTTTACTGTTACAGAGAGAGCAGCTCAGGTGTCATTTGGTAGGCATTTATGCTGTTACAGTATTGGCCAGACTGACAGAGGCAGAGGACAGCTACTGGGGTGTAGGTGTAGGACGGTTGGGACCAGAATACGTCCTGTCTGTAGTTTACTGCCTATTTATTTTGGGAGCACAATGTCTTCTTATGTGTGTTGTTTTGGTCTTTCATTGTAAACCATTTTGTATCTTAAATGTTCACCTGAATTTCTAAAATTATTCATAGCATTAGTGATACTGACCTTTTCAGTGGCAACTATGCATCCATGTGAATGGGTATGAACTTGAACATATAAAAGAGTAATCATCATATTTCAATCTAAACTCCTCTGCTGCACAACCACATGATTCAGCCAGGGATTTAACAGTCATTACTGACTTTAGGAGTCAGAGGTTAGAGGTCAGGGTTTAGAGCGTTATGGTGTAATCTATCTGCTTGACTGGCTGCTTGATTGACAGTTTTGGGACATTAAAAGTGAGTCAAACATGGCTTTGGCTATAGTTATAGTGACCCTGAAGCTGGGGAGAGTGTTTCAAAGTTGTGGAGGAAGGAATGTCTTTGCCAATGCAGCACGTCTCAGTAGCATTCAGGGTGAGGCAGGGCAGGGGAAATCGCTTCATGTTTCATGTGACCTTATTTCTAGTCTCTGAAGATTTAGGTGATGTAAGGCAATTATGTTTCCTGATATGTGCATGATGTAAGACAAAGTTATACTCTTGCTTTGGTGAGTGCACTGTAAGAGGCCCAGCTAATAAGAAAGAGTACAAATCATTTGGAAATGGAAAGCTGTCATCACCCGAAAGTAGATTTCATTACATAACTCCTTTACTGTTTAACTATGAAGATGCCCCCAATGCTAAGCAGAGTGTAAATATGCATGTAATCAAAATGTCTATCATTGCTTAAGGGGTGAAGATGGCCTTGGTGATGTAGCGTGATACTGTGGACAGTAAAGTGGAGACTCATGTAATGCTAGTGTGGTATGTCACTTTACAAACTTTGGAGATTTTTATATACTTTCATGTATGTGGTGCAAATCAAGGTGAATGTTTTTTTCTTAATCTATGGAACGCTATAAAAATGAAGGATGCACTTTCTCAAATGCTTGGTGAGAAAGAAGGCCTTTATACCTGCTGGGTAATTTCGTTTTTTAATATTGGAGGAATTCAAAAGACTGCTGCAAACAGCCGTGAGATAGCCAAAAGTCTTTTCTTTGATGACACATTTGAGGAAAGTTAACTGTCAGTAATATGTGTGTGTGGCAGCCTTTCTTTCTTTCTTTCCTTTCTTTTTGTACCAGTAG